TCTATGTTGATGACATTATTGTGGCTGGCAATAATATTGATAAGATTAATGCAATCAAACAACATCTAGATTCATGTTTCACAATTAAAGATTTGGGCACTTTAAAATATATTCTTGGCCTAGAATTTGCTCATTCTGAAAAGGGTATCAATATGTGTCAAAGGAAATATGCCTTAGACATTTTAGAAGATACTGGATTTCTTGATTGCAATCCAGCTCATACACCTATGGACCCAACTCAGAAATTTAAAACTGCTTCTGAAAATGACATTTTAACAGATGCTTCTGAGTTTAGAAGGTTAATAGGCAGACTTTTATACTTGACTATTTCTAGGCCAGATATTGCTTATAGTGTTCAAACTTTAAGTCAATTTGTTGCTAAACCTTCCTCTGAGCATCTTACAGCAGCTCACAGAATCTTGAGGTACATCAAAGGTACTGTTGGTAAGGGTATTCTTTTTTCAAGTAATTCTACTCCTTCTTTATCTGCTTACTGTGACAGTGATTGGGCCAGCTGTTTAGAAACCAGGAAAAGTGTGACAGGATATGCTGTTTTTCTTGGAAAATCACTCATTTCCTGGAAATCTAAAAAGCAGTCAACAGTAAGTAAAAGTTCTGCTGAAGCAGAATACAGAGCTTTGGCTTCTACTGCTTGTGAAGTCCAATGGCTACTGTATCTGTTTCAGGATTTTAATCTAACCCAAAGTTGTCCAGTTTCCATTTTTTCAGACAGCAAACCAGCTTTGGCCATTGCCACCAACCCTGTATTCCATGAGAGAACCAAGCACATCCAGCTAGATTGCCATCTCATCAGGGAGAAAATAGCTCAACATCTAATTTCTGTCAACTACATCCCTACAAAGGAACAACCTGCAGACCTGCTCACTAAAGCATTACCAAGAGCTCAATTTGAGTTTCTTCAGTCTAAGCTTCACTTGCACAATGTCCATGCTCAGCTTGCGGGGGGATGTTAAATATATAATTAGATATATAATATTCATTTTCTGTATTTTAGTAGTTAGTCTTTTTATACTGTAATTTAGTAAGTCATTTTATTATGTATTCCTTTCCTTTAGTCATTAGGTCAAATATTGTGTTAGGTATAAATACTAAGAGTCAGCTTCTCTGTACCCTAATTTTTCATTCATCAAGTTCAATAGCCGATATTCTCTTTTCCTTCTCAACTCTCTTCTTCTGTTCTTCGATCTAGAATCTAACAATTTTCTTTTTTCAATTTCAATTTCTTGCCCAATGGAAGTGGCACATTATACAACATTATTTGTCCAAAATTTATCATTTATCAGTGTGTATTGATGATGATTGTAATTTACATTTAGATATGATTGTCCGCAATTTATAGACATGTCCACAGGTCAAACCCAGTAACCGGTCCATGATTTTATCCATTCCGGTTCAAATTCATGAATATTCACAATTCAAACCATCGGTTCATGTTTCAAACCATAATCCAAACCAAAACCAACGGTTTGAGGATATTTATTTATGATTTGTTGATTATTACTTATATTTTTTTATTGGTTCAGCCCGGTACCAGTGAGAGCCGCTGGTTCATCGAACCACCCCATATATGTTATCGGGCCAATTTAGGGCCCCATAAATGCGGCCTGAAACTAGCACGGAACCAGGTTTTGGCCTTATCTAGCAATCTATAAATATTGCGTACGACATGCAATGAACAATTAAGTTTAAGTCATAAATCAAAATTTAAAGGAAAACGTGTAAAAAAGAAAAAAGGAAGATGCATGACCAGTGACCACATCAATCGATTCCCTTTTCGCTTTGACATAGTGAAAAATGAAAATTACGTGGCTAACTTCATTAATATACTACAGCTTCAAGCTAACTTTATTTTTCTAGTGCTGTTTTGATTTGACATATACATAACGCAAATATGTATTTATATATGTAGCTCTGGGCATGTAACAAATAAATGCAAATATATACAAAGCTTGGTAAGTTCATTAGGAAAAATAGGCATCTTCTAGCGAAATGTTTTACAGGATAACCTAAGAATCTAGAGTGATAGGGAATAAGGTAAAATATAAGGCATCGGGCTGAACCGACCGAGATAGAGTAGGTGTTGGAGGAGAAAGAACCGGATCGATCCCACACGCGTGGGGATCGATCCCATGATCGAGCCTGCGAAGAGGCGCGTGATCGAGCTCGTAAGCTCGGTCTTTGAAGAACTGCGTGATCGAACTCATAAGCTCGGTCACTGTTTAATAAATATAATATTTTAAGACATCTACACATGAGACACGCCTATATATATTGAGACATTAATTGTCGTGAAGTTAAGTGACATTTATTATTCAACAACCAAAGTACCATTACTGTTCATCTTATACCCTACTTGTCTCCCAAACACTAACTTAAGCTTTGGAGGGTTTTACGTCGGAAAACCTCCGGCGTACTTTGCAGGTACTCACGTGCTTCGTCTCAGATCGGAAACCGGGGAGAGGAAGACGCACCCTTGAACCAAAGACCGTTCTGAACCGGAGCCGCCTACACGGAACCTTATCATAGAGAACAAGCAAACAAATAAATAAATAAATATCTCAAGTTAGTAAATATGGTTATCAAATATCAACTTATCTTGAGCTTGTTGACATATTGTACCACTGTCACCCATAGTTTTTTATTTTTTTATTTTATTTTTTATTTTTTTTGTAATTAAAAAAAGTTAGCAACTCTTAGTTTTGTCTTTTCCAAGTACAGAGCTCAATATAGGGTAGGCATCCAAATCCAGGTAATGCATACAGAATAATCATGTCCAATTATTACATAGCAACATCAGCATTACCACCATTGACAAGGCAGTGCTGTACTTTCCTCAGTATAAAATCTATCTCTTTCTGTTACAGATACTGCTTCTGCTTCTGCTTCCGCTTCCATAAATATGAAAAATGCCCACGTTACTTTTCTCGCTCTACTTCAAAGCCTGTAACCGGGTCAACTCATACCTCAGAAGAAACAAAATTAGTAAATGATTAATAAAAAGAAAAGTGTACAGTGCCTCAGGAGAAATTAGAGGATTTCGGCTCATGTACTATTTTTTCTTGATGAGTTTCTTTTAGTACTATCAAATAGTACTAAAACTGGGAATATTCTCTGTAACTGTTAAGTTGGTATCCACTCTCAAGGCATTTTATGTCATATATATATATTTGGTTCATCAGGAAAATTTTAATTAATTTTGAGTGTTAGTTTTTCAGCCCAAATGTATATTGACATTTGTAAAATGTCATATTTTTATTATTTTATTTTTTAGTGTATGACACTTCCAATTTAGAATTATACATATGTATTGATATTTGATATAGTATGTTCTAGATGTGTGTGTATTTTATAAATTTAGTTATTCATACTATTATCTTTATTTGATTATATTTTCTTACAGAACTATCAAGCTATGTACTAGTAATTTCTACAATAAAGAATATGGTTTGATTGAGAGTTTACTCTTCAATGGTCCATTGTAATATCAACTCAGGTGTATATTGATACGGTAAAATATTATAATTTTATTATTTTATTTTTAGTGTATGACACTTCATATTTAGAATTGTATATATGTATTGAAATAGCATGTTGTAGATGCAATTGTGGATATTAATATATTTTATAAATTCAATTATCCATATTATTATCTTTATTTGATTATGTTTTTTTACAGAAACTATGAAGCTATGAACTAGTAAATTCTACAGTAAAGAATATGGTTTGATTGAGAGTTTACTATTGTAATATTAATTTGGCTTTCAGTCATGCAGCACCTACATCATTAATTCTTACATCCGCGACTTTATTGTTTGAGGAGTGACGTCACAGTGTCACAGTCACCTGAAACGGCGCCGTCAAGGTCCTGGGCCCGACTATCGAAGTTGCTAATTGCAATTTTGCAATTCTTTGCAAATAAATGGATTTAATTTTATATCTCCACATCTCACTTATTTATGGAGTTTTGCATGCAGCTGGGTCATATCATATTAATATATTTAATTATTACATTTTACATGTTTATCTCTATTATTAATGAAAAATGGCTGCATGAAGCAATCATTCCCCAGCCACAAAATTCTATCTATAAATTGGCACTTGTTTCACTCATTTTCTTCATCAGTTTCGGTTTGTGCCCTCCAAAATCTTTTCGCATTAAGATAATTACTAAACAAATTATCTCTCAGCCTCTATATTTTCGAATTCTATAAAGACCTGATGGCATTTACCAAAAGATCTGGGTTGCTCTACTTCTTGCTGGTGTTAAGCTTGTTCATTCAAGATTTTGCTGGTATACTGACTTAAATTCAAATAAATTACCTAATAAGTTATAATATTTACTCATTGCATGGGTTAAATCGTTAATAATGTAATTGTTTTGGCAGAATCAAGCAACAGTGGACCCTCGCATGGGCTTAGGCACAGAAAGGTTTTCAAACTCATTCTCTGCATGCAAAAATTTCAAAACCCACATTTTCATTTTCTATCCTTATATGTGTGATTTTAGTTTAATCCTCTGTTTTGGATTCTTGATAATTCTTTCTCCTGCTACACCATGAACAGCTGTTCTTGGAGCTGAAGAAAATGGCTCTGAAAAACAGAGCCCAAAAACTTGCCAAAAATGAGATGACAGAGAACTGGGAACTGAGGCGGGTCCCCACAGGGCCCGACCCGTTGCACCATAACGGCCAGGGCCCGAAGAAGCCTCGTATTCCGTGAAATTTGGGCCGATCCATTTGAATGTTGGGAAAATCGAACGTGTTTTTTATTTACGTCTTTATATTTCATGTGTAAAATATATGTTTGTGTGACACTTTTGATGGTGCCTTTTGTATTGCTCCTGGCAAACCCTCTATGTCAATCATCAAATATATGTAAGGCTGGAAGATTATGTATTGCTCTTACTTTGTCTAAATAAATATGTAACAAATATTACTATGTCCAAATGAATATGTAACAAATACACAAGACAGGACTGATTACAACTCATGCTCTACTAGACTAAAAATACCTTCCGAAGCACATTTGAACGTCTTAACCTCATTCGACAAACATTCGAGCATCAAATATATACTATCAGCATCATCATGTGATTTATCCCCCGCCATAAACCCGTGAATAATCCCATCAACCTCAACCGAACTAATCCCGGGCCTTTTTTGAAGCCCAACAGCCTTCATTATCCTCCTCACCCCACTTGCACCTCGCCACCTACCCCTGGCAGCATAAATATTCGACATCAGCACGTAATTAGAATCCCCATTAGGGACGAAATCGTAAATATATTCCATCAGCTGTTCGGCCAAGTCAAAATCTTCACAATCTCTACAAGCAGCCAAAAGTGACCCAACAATAACCTCGTTAGGCTTCATGGGCATTTTATCGAGCACGTGAAGCGCCTCCTTCAATCTCCCTCCACGGCTATATAAATCCACCAAACATCCATAGTGCTCGATTCTTGGTTTTATTTTGTAAATTTTTTCCATGGACTCGAATAACTTTAGCCCGACTTCTACAAATCCTGCATGGCTGCATGCGTTGAGTGCACCCGTAAAGCTCACACTGTCGGGGGCAAATCCGTCCTTTTGCAACAAACGAAAATAATCCAAAGCCTCGTCTGCATGCCCGTTGTACGCCAAACCCACTATGATCGAGTTCCAAGAAACTAAGCTTCTTTCGGACATTTTGTCAAACACCTGACGAGCGAATTCCACACATCCACACCTGCAGTACATATCGATCAATGCATTCTGGACCCGAATGTTGTCCCTAATGGATTCAAAACCCAGCAAGAATCGATGGGCCCAAAGGCCCAAACCAAGCGAGCCCAAATTAGCAACGGCGGAAAGAACGCATACAATGGTCACGAAATCGGGAGGTATTCCAGACATCTGCATCTCTTTAAACCAACTCAATGCCTCCTCAAACCTTTGCTTTTTAACAAATCCATCAATCAACACAGTCCAAGAAACTATGTCTCTTTCGGGCATTTTGTCGAACATCTGGACTGCCTCATCAAACTCGTCGTTCCTCATGTATCCATTGATTAATGTATTCCACGAGACCCTGTTCTTGGCTTTCATGCGATCGAAGCCCAATCGGGCCGAGCCCATCTGGCTGAATTTGGAGTACATGTCGACCACGGCCGTCCCGACCATCACGTCGGTGGTGTCCAACCCGATTTTGCAGGCGTAGCAATGGACGGAGGGCCCGAGCGAGAGGCCACGGGCCGGGAAGCGGGCGCAGCCAGAGAGGAGGGTGACGAGGGTTATGTGGTTCGGTTCACAGCCGGATGTGCGCATGCAGGTGAATTGGAGAATGGCTTGAGATAAATCGCCGTTTTTGCAGTGGCGGGCGATGGATGAGGTCCATGAGGCGGTGGTGGGGTCGGGAGGTGAGTTTGGGGCGCTGTTGTTTTGGGAGGGTTTGAAGGATAAACGGCGGCGGTGGTGGGAAGGGGGATCGTGCGGCGGTGGAGAAAGGTGTTGGGTGGTGATTTGAGCGGCGGGAAGGCTCATTTGATCTGGAGTATGGTTAGGAGTCGTTGGCAATGCGCCATGTTACTGTCCTATCGTTTTTTTTTTAATTAATCTTTAAATACAAGATGCACATTAAATTCGGTATATTAGTCTTAATTTTTTTTACTTAAAAATTAATTATTTTTTGCCATTATATTTTTAATAATTAAGTACTTAGTATTTTTTATTTTTTACCTTTTTATAAGTAATATATTTCAAATTAAATTACATTGAAATTTTTGTCAGTTTGATTCCAAGTACCATTATTTATTGTTGTGTGAATTTCGTTAAGAAAAATAAAAAATAAGAAAATAAAAAATAATATAATTTTTTTAAATTTTTTGTGAAAACAAAAATATGTTGTAGTATAGTTGACTCGACAATATAATGGATGAATGTATAAATTATGAATATATTACTAGAATTCTACATACAGTTAAGTAAAACATAGAAAATTTATTTTAAAGTTAAAAAATATGTGGCAAAACAGAGAATGGAAACTATAATCAAGATTAAAAATAAAAGAGGGAATTAGAGCGTAAAATTGTAATATTTTGATAACCATCATATTTTCTTTAGTTGTAATACCACGTTTATATTATATCTATAATAAAATTATGAGTTGAATTCAACTATAAGTAGTTGAGTTGTAATTAATTCATTATGTATCTTTCTTTCTTGTAGTTTTATTTTCTAAATAGGGGGAATTATTAAAATTATGAAAAATGTTCCCACAATTTTTGTTAGATATCTTATGCTATATGTTTTGGGAAGAGGTCTGTGTCGGGACTTTTAGATAAACATGGATCCGCCCATAATTTCAACAAAATATTTTTGTTAGAATTTTCACTGAAAAAATCAAACAGGAGTATAACATTGAAATATTCATTAAAATTGTCGTTGAAATTCCGTTGTAACATATTATCATTGATATTTCATCATTTTCTTCTAGTAAAAGTATGGCTCCAAATCAAACTAAAAAATTTTGTATTATATATAATGTTGTGTGCAGATAATTAGTTTAAAAATTATTGATAATGATACAAAATATAACAAATTCTATGTAATTATCATTTAATTTATGATAATTAGTATTTTATTCAAACTAAATAAGATATATCTACGTTTAAAAATCTTTAATCATTTTATTAGTATTATAATAACTAAACAAAGGGTAAGAATGATGTGCTACGTGATAAAAAGGTAAGAATAGACAATGAAAAATCTTATAGATCGCATTCCATCCAAATGTAAAAAAAGTTGTAAAACTAATTAATGTCATATATCAATTGGAACTGACAAATGATAAATGTAAAACATACTTAATGTGCACATTTATAAAGAATATACTTATTTTTGTGCATTAAAATTGATTTGTTAGTCTTAACTTTTTTAGTTAATAATTTAATTATTTTCTGCTTTCTTAACTTTTCAATTTGAAATACTTAATATTTTTTAATTGTTACACTTTTTATATGTAATATATTTCATCATTTCTTTTCAATGATGTTTGATTTCACCAAAGTATTGTAATAAAATTAAAATAATATAATTATTTATATCAATATAAAATAATAAAATATATATCTATTAATACCAATTTAAAATAATAAATGGACCTAAAAGTATCTTATAAAATAAATCATAGATCCATGCAATCTCATTTTTATTAAGTATAATTAACATTGATAAACTTATGGTATGCTTTCTTACATAGATTTAAAATATTTATAATAAGAAAATGTACAACTATTGCCAACACTAACTATGTGAATTAAAAAAATAAATAAATGAGATGTATGTTAAACTATTATTCAATTACCGCTTAAAAGGGAACACCATAATGGTTGTAAAATATATTTTTTGTGAATATGAAAATGAATTAGTTACTTACTATTTTATCAAACATTGGAAAAAAAATCCAAAAATTTTTAATCTTATAAACAATATAAAAATACACTTTATCAAATATATTATTATTATAAAACATGTACAAAAAAAAAAACCAATAAATAAAATATTATCTGTGACTAAAATAAAAGCAAATAAAATAATAATCATACAATGGGGGAAAGGAAAAGTCTGAATTTTCTTAGAGAAGTATGAATAACAATATCAAGAAATACAAGTCTTTTAAAATTTCTACTTTTTTTGTTGTTGTTAGCATTTAAGTATATGTTCTTTGGAAAGTAGTTCTCATAAATAATGACAATATATTATCATAATATAGACCATAAACTTTAATAAGGAATTTGTAATAATAAAATTCACAGATGACTAAGAGTTTCATTATAATAGAATTCAAATTCTCCTAATCTCAAATGTTTTGATAAATAATAAAGCCAAATATTGTTTTGTTTTGTTATTATTGAAGAATCAAAAAGCATCTTTATCTTGAATTTTCGAAACAATATGTATGATGCAAAAAGTTAGACAATAATTGCATTAAATAATATATGTAAATCCAAATGAATGTGAATGGTTTATGATAAATAACTCTAAAATCATTGCAATAACCAAAATGCTCAATGATTTACAAACAATAGATTATGTAGTTCGTCTATCTTCCTAATAAATGACATTGAAAAGGAAATGTCTGATTCTGATCAAAATATTTTTGAATGTTTGAATAAGTTGTCACTTTTTTATAGGAATATTTACAATCTCAATTGTGTATTGTGCTCCATCATATGTACAATTACTTTAGAGTACATACTTTCATGTAATGAGTGATGATTTCAAAAATTAATTTAGTTTCTGGGGTGAAGTAAATCAAGATTTTGGAAAGTCAATTTTTATTTAGAGATGAAATTCTTTTCCACCTTATGGGAATGTACCATTTTGTCTGTATGGAGAGAGAAAATAATGTAGTAGTTTATAAAATGATTAAAAAAAATTCACACGGTTGGTTATTTCGCATAGATATTTATGAACTGTTAGTAGAAGTACCTTATAATGATCATACAATCATGAAGTTTGACCATATGTTTAGCGAAAATATTTGTATGTATTGAATAAAGTAGACGTTTCGCCAAATTAATTAAAAAAATTTTGCAATATTATTGATGTATTGCGCTCCAACGAGTATGAATCTTTCTTAGGAGAACGTCAAAATCAAAATCAAAGAAAACCACTCTTGAATCTAACATAAATAAATAAAAGAAAGAATGCATTTATGATATACATTAGATCCATATTTAGTTATTTAATATTTTTTCTATTAGGGACTCATTTTTCATATATTTTGGTTGGGTTGTAACATGTTATTTAAATCTTTTTTATGTTAGGACATTATTATTTTTGACAAAAAATACATCCAGAGCTTATTTGTTCTATATTCATTTTGTTCCTGCAATGATATGTTTGATAAATTAATTAATTTATCATACTAAATATATATAATCGGCAAAAACATTCGTCAGCACGTGCATCGCACGTGCATTTTACTAGTACTAATAAAAAAGTAATATTGTACCGAAGTAACACCTCTATCACGAAATGTGCATGATTATTCGATTAAAATCTAGTGGGCGTATGTACTGTGGTGCAAGTTGACGTAGGGCGTCTATCACAATATGTGCATGATTACTAATGGTCTTTGTAGTTCTTCGGAATGCCTCTGATGCACGTCGTTGCCGTAACTGACCTTTTATCGTGTACAAAAAAGTTGCAACCGTTTCTTCAAGGCAAGAAATTTCTGAGGTTTTCCTGTGGCGATTGGCTTCAACTTTCAGGGTAACGAACATTTTTCGGCACATCGAATTTTCGAACTTGTCTAGTGCTACCTGCAGAACACTCGACGGAAAATCAGGAATAGGCTCGGTAATCGCTTTTTCGAGTGTCGTCTGTTCGGGCCCCTGCATTTTTCTTTGTTGGAGAGCGAGTTGGGTTTTGGTGAATAAATTCATCACATTGTCGATTGATGGGATGTTTCTATACGTCAACTGGTCATAGTGCGCACAACTGCTTTTCTTCATATCTTTGTCCCTTGGGTGTACCTATAAATTTTTTGGCTATCATAAATTGCAACAATACATAATCAACTATCTATATCTATATCTATATATATATATATATAAAGGTTGTTGTTAAAATACCTTTTTAGAAACTTTTGACCAAAAAAAAAAAGAAAATACCTTTGACATTCTAAATATAGAAAGCTTGAAAGCATTTATAAGACACGAGATTAAAAAAAGGCATACTTGAATTCAAAAATTAATGGATTAGAGATATTATTGGGATGTGTGGATAAGTCACCTTAAAGAGATATTATAGGGATATTATTAGATCCATAATTATCATTACATAATTATCATCAATCTTTCCATTAAATTTCGGTCCATACCAACATGATACAAAAAAATTTCTATAAAATAATATGCACTACCATTATTATCTGGTCACGTCATTCACAGAGTTCAGAGATAAAAAAAAAAAGAGATCAATTTCAGAACACATCGATAATATAATAACCATGGGAAGAAAGATATCATAACGAACATATGGAAACTTGTGCTTCATGGAAGAACTCATGTTATCAAATATGGTGGGAATTTTTCCTCAAACTGGTGATATTTTCCCTCAACATTAGCAAGGAGTAGGAGATATTTATGATATTTAGAGTTTGATTATTATGAATTTTAATTTCATTCCATGTCGTTGAATTCCAATTTTTATAATAAATTTTAGTGTTCTTATATTTGTTATCGTTATAAAATGTCGATGAATATTTTTATTTTTTTATTCAATGTCACACGAATGTGAAAATTTGAACATTTTATTTTTTACTTTTACTGTATATAAGTTTAAATTTGGTAGAATGCCATGATATAAGATATAAATTAATACAAATTTTAACAAATATTTCAAATATAAGATTATATAAATAAAAAATTACGGAATTAACAATAACTGAATCAAGTACATTTAATGGATTATATTGTGTGATTTTTCAATAATTTATTATTCATAAATATTTGCTTGATTATAATATTTATAATAATTTGTGTTATATAATAATAGACGTTGATCTTAATGATAAAAGGTCAAATGTGATCTCGCTGTGGTAGTTTTTTATTGACGGAAAATCACAGTCTCAATTCAAAATTAATTGTAGAGATAATACAATTAATGGTGTAGAGATAATATTGGATTGGATAACTCATTAATGAAAATCACTCATTATTTGTATTAATATCTCAAATAACATTTTAATTACTTATTAATGGCTCAATCCATATTTATTTCTTTTAACGTCAAAATTTTAATAATAATAATTTATATATTAATCTATTTTTAATCGCATGGTATGTATTAGTATAGATATATACAGTGAGTATAATGCTATCACAACGAAAAATCTCCACTTCTTAACTACTTTGCACTTATCTTATCATCATACAAGAGTTTGAATTTATTAAAACTCATATTTTAATTAATTAACATTTTAATCACTTATTAATGGTTCAATCCATTTTTTACGTCATTTAATCAAACAACATTTTAAAACAAAGGCTGAATAAATTTTGGTTAAATTAATATTAATATAATAATAATAATAATAATTTATATATTAATCTGTTTCTAATCGCATTATATGTATTAGTATAGATATATACGGTGATTATGATGCTATCACAATGAAAATCTCCACTTCTTAACTAATTTGCACTTATCTTATCATCATACAAGAGTTTGAATTTATTAAAAATCATAATTTAAATTAATTAACATTTTAATGACTTATTAATGGTTCAATCCATTTTTTTTACGTCATTTAATCAAACAACATTTTAAAACAAGGGTTGAATAAATTTTGGTTAAATTAATATTAATATTATAATAATAATAATTTATATATTAATATGTTTTTAATCGCATTGTATGTATTAGTATAGATATATGCGGTGATTATGATGCTATCACAAAAAAAAAAAATCTCCACTTCTTAACTAATTTGCACTTATCTTATCATCATACAAGAGTTTGAATTTATTAAAACTCATATTTTAAATTAACATTTTAAAATGTCAGCCGAACAGAGGAGTGTCTACTCAGGAATTATGTCCGCTGTTGAACCCGACCATGGAGGGGTCTTTTTTGTATATGGTTATGGTGGAACCGAGAAGACGTACTTGTGGAGGACTTTATCTGCTGCTTTGAGATCCAAAGGCGGTATAGTCTTATGTGTCGCATCCAGCGGAATAGCGTCGCTTTTGTTGCCAGGTGGACGAACACCGCATTCTCAATTTATTATACCATTGAATCCCCACCAGGAATCTACTTGCAACATCAATCAGGCAAGCCCTCTGGCGGAATTGAAACTTTGTGCTTCTCTAATAATATGGGATGAAGTACCAATGATGCACAAACATTGTTTTGAAGCAGTACAGACATCGTTGCAGGGTATTATGGGAGAATTGATCCTTTGAACCTCAACAAACAGTTTGGTGGGAAGCCAGTTGTTTTTTATGGAGATTTTCGACAAATCCTTCCTGTCATTCCAAAGGGTAGCCGTCAGGACATAGTCAATGCTGCCCCTAATGCTTCTGACATATGGAGAAGTTGTACTGTTCTTAGGCTTACGAAAAACATGCGTCTTCAAGGACTTGCTAATTCGGATGAACGTGATGAGCTTGCACGGTTTGCAGATTGGATAGCCTATATCGGAGAAGGAACTATTGGAGGGTCGAATGACGGGTGTGCACTTATAGACATACCCGAAGATATTTTGCTTCAGCCATCTGATGATCCTATTGCTCAAATCGTTGAAAGCACATATCCAATGTATAAGGAGGCGCCTGACGATCCAAGCTATTTGAAGGATAGGGCTATATTAGCACCAACGTTGGATGTGGTCGAGTCTATCAATGAGTACATGACATCATTGAATTTGTTGGATGGTCGTATGTACTTGAGCTCTGATAGTACGTGCAAATCGGATTCTAATAATGATTTTTTGTCTGATCTCCATACACCTGAGTTTTTGAATGGTATCAAGTGTTCCTGAATACCGAACCATGAGTTGTATTTGAAGATTGGAACTCCAGTCATGTTATTGCGGAACATGGATCATTCTATGGGTTTGTGTAATGGGACACGATTAGTTGTGACAAACCTATCTACTCATGTTCTTGAGTGTAAGATACTCACAGGAGATCATGCTGGTGTTACGGTGTTGATTCCAAGAATGACCATAACTCCTTCTGATGTTAAAATTCCTTTCAAGTTCCAGCGGCGGCAGTTTCCCATTATGGTTTCTTATGCCATGACTATAAACAAGAGCCAGGGACAATCCTTATCTCATGTTAGCTTATTTATTAAGAAACCAGTGTTTAGTCATATATGTTGTTGTCTCCCGTGTCACTAACCGAAAGAGTTTGAAAATCTTAATTTGTGGTGAAGATGACGTGCTAAAGAATCAAACCAATAAGTTTGTATATACGGAAGTGTTCAAATATATATGATCTTTTCAGTTTAATTATATGTTTATATGTCTATTCTTATGATCATGATCATTTTGTTATTATACAATTTATATACAAAATATAATTGTAAAAAGCTCACAAGTGATAGTATCCCCGTGCATCACACGGGTGATTACTAGTTATTGAAGATATGCAATCCAAAAATGTTGGTTATAAGAAAATAAAAAATATTCTCAAGGACTCAAATCAAATGACTTGTGTTTCATATCTTCAAATCAAACAAAAAAATTATGTATAACCCAAGACAAGCATATTTATGAAAGCATACACAAACACAAACCAATTTTGATAGAAACCAAAATAGAAAGAATTATGTTTCACTATCAACATAAGCAACAGAAAGTTATTGAACAAACATTAGAATGTTTTGTAGAACTAACCTTAAGCCATTCTGCCCAAACTTCTTCGCGTCTCGTGATCCTACCAAGGTTTTTTTACCATCAAAACCCGGCTTCTTTGGTCAACATTGTATAGAAACAACGCCAATGGGAGTTCAGAAGACCATAGTTACTCGTTATTTGACTCAGTTCATAAGGTGGTTCGACGGAGCACCTTTCATTCAATTTTTTCAGAATTTCCGTCCACCGACTGCTGTTGAACTTACCGCCGACGTAGTTCCCCATGTCAACTTCGTCCAGCATGAGTGAAACGAAGTGAGACTCTGTTTTGAGCGTCCATTTACCATCGGCTTGCTTCCTTTTTGAACTGCCAATCTCATTCATACCTGCCATCTACATTATCCAAATTATGTACACATTTTCGACCATAATGTGAGACTTGTTCATACAAAACCAAAATAAATCTAGAACTAGGAATCAAAAGTCTGTGTCTGCGTATTATGTCATAAATATTTTTCATGTTAGACGATGTAAAATCAAATCAACAAAGGGACAAGCTAGCATAGCAAAGCTCAACCGCAAGTGTACGGCTTCGCTCGTAGTATGTGGCAAGCAAGGTCGTATCCCAAGAGACCAAATAATTAATATATCAAGTACCAGATTATGATAATGTCAGCTTTATTTAGACGACCAAATATGAGATGGATTAACTAAACTAAGAAAATATAATTAAAGAGAAATAAAGCAACAAGAAGAAACTAGCTAGAAAAACACGTAAGAAGATGTAAGAGAACGATAGATTCTAAGACTTTGGTTTCAATTAATAGTTGGGTTCCTTCAGAAATATCACAACCAATGTTTTCCTTATCTTCCCTATAAGATGATCACAAATTTAGCTTATCGTCCCTCTCAATATCCATAAAACCGTAGATTAAATCACATATATTAGCGTCTCCACTCAACACATGCAATTCAACTCCAAATAGATTAAAAGATCTAATAGCCTCACAACAACCTACTAATCTCTCGATTCAAGCAAGTAAATTGTGTCAAATATTAAAGACCTAATATTGAACTCATCTCTCGAATTATGAACAATATTGTCAAACACGTAAAAACATTGGCTAAGTGCTAAACATGAAATAAGAACAAAATATTTGAATAGAATTCAAAAGAAAACAATCAATTATAATAAATCATTGTTGTAGTTATTTTTACCGGAGTTAAATCAAAAGATTCGAACACCGGGTCGTGTCTCAAGGAAGGTTAGCCGGATTATTTTGTACGATTATTCAAGCACAAGAGTGGAAAATAAAAGAAGTGAAAATCCTAAACATTCTAAATCAAGTTTGGAGATTTGATTATCGTCTACTAATTTGAAAAGCAAATAATTGAACAGGGCAGGCAAACTCGGTATCACAAATTTAACATATAATGAAGGAGCTAGGGTATCGGGGTCGATCAATTCCGGTTCTCAATACACTTAACGAGCAATCAAGAGCTCGGTTGAACGTTTCGCTAAACTACTCATCTAGAGGTCTATCCTCAATAACTCTTCGTAACAAGAGGATAGACATAAATAAGCAATTCTTGAAGCAATCAACACATAAGCAATACTATTACGAACAAGCTTATTCCTAACGAGCCTAGATCGAACGATTTCTCCCTTTTCAGTTTTAAAATCGATTAGATAGATTAAGATGGTGATCAATCATCAAAACCCTAAGTTAAGCACAACTCGAGAAGATGGAGCAATTATCATGCACATAAATACAATCAAACCGGAACGATCTTCCCTTAACCCTAGCTAAAGGATTTAGCTACTCATAATGCATTCAACTCCAACACATATAATAATCAAAGCCATTCAATCAATAAGAAAACGAAACGAAAGCTTACGATTGAAAAATCCAACGTTGAATACACGAATAGTCGAATCCACAAGCTTAATCTTGGTGTTTTCACAATCCAAGATCAAATCCTATGAAGAACTAAGAGAAAAACTGTTTTGGAGTGAATAAAAACGAGAGAAAATCTAAAACCTAGCTGAAAGTGAATGAAAAACTGATCAAAAAACGCAACTTAAAAAATCTGCTGTTGCGACCTCCGCGGCCGCGACATAGACCTCCGCGGCCGCGGCGAAGAACCTCTCGCGGCCGCGACCTGCTTCGCGGCCGCGACCTCCCCGAGCCAGAAACTGGGACTTCCGTGTATCTCGCGGCCGCGACTTTCTCTTCTCCGCGGCCGCGGCGAACAATTTCTGAATGTTGGTTTTTGGATTCGTTTTCTCTCATCCGGACTCGGAATTTGACCCCGTCTTCTCCAACACGACCCCAACTCATCCATCTAGACAGTAGACCTCGCATATCCATGCACCGAGCCACCAAACCTGCACATCATCACCGACAAAAAATACGAAAAACGGGAAAAACGGACAAAAAGACCAAAATCGACTAAAACAAAGGATATGCGCGAGACGACTCGAAACGGACCAAGAACCAAAGAAAAATACCTAAGTAGGGGAAAAACAAGCATGAAATAAACAAAGAAAACGTGACAAAAGTGGAACGAACAACTCCCCCACACTAAAACCTTTGTTCGTCCCGAACAAAACACAAAGAAAGAAAAGAAAACAAATAAGTGAGTAAGGACAATATAGTTCACGCAAGACCAATCTCAAACCAATTAATCGAACTGAGAAGAATTCCAATGAACACAAGAATACACTTCAAAAATTAACTCGGCCATATCGAGGAACAAAGACTCTCGAGTATGCAAATGTATATGCCTCACTCAGTTTCTTTCGCAAAATATAAGATAGGTGCACTCAAATTGGTCATCAGTCACGTTAATCATAAATTTGCCTGTCGTCTAACTTCTACTCTAAAACAATCAAATAAATGAGACAGCGAATCAAGAGGACTTGTAGGGATGTAACGTAGGCTCTTTGGACAGGGTAGGATAAATATAGGCTAAGTGGCTCAATATGTACAATCTAATCCATCACTTCACCATGACAATAACTCATCCGGTTGTTACCAACCGGTTTCTCCCACAACTCCAAAAACACGTACTTTCCAAACAACACACTTTTTTTTTTGTTTTTCTTTTTCCTTCTTTTTTTTTTTGCGAAAACCTATTGGACAATATTATCTAGGTTTAACCTTCGGGTTTTCTGCCCGAGTCTCCTAGACCGGTTTCCCGTACTCATAGCCCATATCCACTACATTAGTGGACGGAGCTCTTGGAGTAGAATCCATTCGGTTTTCCTTTTTTTTTTTGTTTTTTTTTTTTTTTTTTTTTTTTTTTTTTTTTCACATCGAATCAAACACGAATATTTACACAGCAATCAATCGTCACCTCCAACTCCCAACCCGCAACTCAATATCTTCATCACGAGGTTAACAAGAAAATTCAATTAAGGCTCAAAGGGGATGACTAGTGATTATTATTCTCGACAAAGAAAAAGGAAAAGAGAGTACAAGAAATGCCTCAATCATATTCACGTCACATCAATCTAATCCAATTATTTCAAAGCAGTCTCAAGGCAAATTCTAATTAACAAGATTCAGACCAATATCACACAAGAAACAATAAGGCTCAAACCTCACAAGGTAAATATGTTCCTCAACACAACGAAGCTAATCAATTAAAGATATATTACTCGTGCTCATCATCACATCTTCTCAATTAAACCAACGATTATCAAAAAGCTTTGCAATACACCAATGTCCAGACTCTGAAAACGCACAGAAACCTAAAAACTAGACTGGTCCACCACATAATCACGTAAAACTCCCCCACACTGAAAACCAGACAATGTCCCCATTGTCAAGTCGCGGTGAAGGAGAGTTAGACCATATAACAGACCAACGCAAAAACAGAAACAAAGAAGCTGTACACAAATAAAAAGAGAAAGGGAAAAAGAGAACATACAAAGCACAGTGACAAGTCACTGTGCATCCGGAGGTGATGGTGGCTGGTGAGGGTGATTGGGACCCGAACCCCAACGGGCGTCCCACTGAGTGAAGCGCTGGTCCCAGCTGTCCATCCGAGCGTCCTGCTGGTCCTGCCGCTCGCGGATTGACTGGAGGCCGCCAGCGAAAGTGTCGAACTGGGTACCCATCTGAGTCCAGTGGGTCTGCTGCCGGGTCTCCCACTGGTCCCATCGAGTGTTCTGCTGTGCCTCCCAGCTGGTCCACTGCGTGGTCTGTCGGCTCTCGAGGGCAGCCCATCTGCTGTCCTGGGCGTCAAAGCGATCGTGGATCGAGCGGATGTCGGCGGTGTACTGAGTCTGAAAAGTGGACCACCATTCCGGCGGCTGCTGCGGGGGCATCTCCGGGTGAGAGTTTGGCGCCGGCGTCCAGTCGGGTGGAGGGGGAAGTAGATGGTCCTCGTCGATATTCATCTGCTCATGCGCGTCCTCCGTCGGTTGCCGAGACGACCCAGCCGGATCGGAATTAGGCTGACCCTGCTGGAGCTTTTTGAAATAGGTCTCGTAGGCAGCACGTTTCGTATACTCCTTAGCTGCTCGCCGGTTCAGAATAAGGTCAGCCTGCTTGAGCTCGTTAAAGTTGATACACCGCATCTCAGACTTGTCTTGACGCGCCATCTCCCCATGTAGTCTGTATGCTTCTGGAGTGACGTCAAAGTGGTGAGCGAGTGCGGTAACAAAATGTCCGAGCGCCGGTAGTCCACGCTTGGAGAGGGCAATCTCCTGGAAAGAGTTCTGAAGGAAGGTCATGGAACACACTCGCACTCCCGACCGCATCGCCCAGAGGAGAAAAAGCTCACCCTCACTGACTTTGTTCGCTTCCTTTTTGCCGGTGATATTGTAGCAAATGAACCGGTGCACAACGGCGGTGGCCAGGTCCTGGATAAGCCCGTTGGACATACCAGCAGAATCCCACGTCGTATGCGGGGAGAGCTCGGCCCAACTCTTGTGGGGATCAAAATCGGCGGCTTTGCTTCGTGTACCGGCAAAGTTGAACCCGCAAACCGCCTTCATCACGGCATTGTCCACCACGAGTTCTTGTCCCTTAAGCCGACAAGTGAAGAAGTCGTTCCCATCGGCGAGAACGAAAGAACTGTAGAACTCAAGCATAAGGGTCCGGTACGACCGCTCCTCAATTTTAGCGTAGTCGGTTAAGTTCAAGACCTTGAGGTACTTCATGACGTCCTCCAGGATACCCAACTCGTTCAAAAGGTCCCAGTCCACCGCCTTGGGTCGCACGACCTCCTTTTGCGAGAGACGGGCATAAATCTCACCCTCCTTCCGCGAGTAAATCGGGAATGGGGCCCCGTA